TGGAGAGGCTTAAGGGTATCGTACACTTTGGAGACACTTAAGAGTGCGTACGGTTTAGAGATACAGTTTGGAGATACTTAAGGGTATATATTATACACCTTGGAGATACTTAAAGAGTATCTATAAATTGTACACTTTGGAGAAAGTTAAGAGTATCTCTACGTCGTATACTTTGGAGACACAAGGGGATCTGTACATCGTACTCTTTGGCGATACTTAAGGGTATCTCTATATCGTATGCTTTGGAAACACTTAAAAAGTATATCTGCAAGTTGCTTTCCAAACTTCGTTTCCCTTTGGCCAAACAGCTCTCAGTCCAAATGCATCGGGCTAATTGGATGGATTAAAACTTTGAATAACCAGCCGGAATTCATTGCTGCACAGGTTTGCTCTCCCTGAGATGGACCCTTTCCAAAGAGGAGTAAATAAAGAGATAAACAAGGCCAATGGCAGCTACTTGCAAGCAAAAAGATACCCTTATAATGTCATGTCGAGATGGCCCTTGGAGGAAAAGAAAGGTGGGCCAGAGGTAAGACAACACAACAACGCGGGCCCATTGCAATTCTCAAAAGGCTCCCCATATAAACGCAATTGAAAGAACAAGGGCATGTTGTTCAAGTCAGTGGGACTTCCATGCATCTCTAAGTGACTTTAAGCCCTACAAAATGACATGCAAAACAGCTCCTGAATTTTAAAAGCCCGCTATGCATTTCTTCAATTGTTTTTGCATTGCGATAAATAAGCCCAAACACGAGAGAGGCAAAATTAGTGCAGAAAAAGCCGATTGTGCTTGAGGCGCTTGTCTTTTTTTCTTTCCTGGTATCTATGACAACAACAGAGACCTGTTTATTAAGCTGTTGCCTCTCCGGCCCAAGCGCCCAAACCCTTGAAAGGACACAATGGCCACCATCCAAATCCAAAGCCGACCAATGAATTGAACCAATGCAAGCCCAAGAGAGAGGAGCCGGAAATCTTTAACCAATCTCAGCAACATTTCCACTTCCTAGAGATGAATTATTTCCCTACGTATCCTAACTAGAGAGGATGCCATCTCATTTTCCCATCTCTATGCTCATGCAGAAATTCTGCTTTCCTTCCTTTGCAAAGATAGCTATCATTTCAGGGCATTGATATTATTATTATTATTATTATTATTATTATTATTATTTTGCTCGGAATTAAATACAACAGTAATAAAATACAGTTAAAATAACAATAACAACAACAACAACAACAACAACAATAGCAAGATGATGGTGAAGAGGCTGAACTCCCAACTCAAAATAGATTCAGCATCTTCGACAGATTGTCCAAACCGGAGCCAAGGGGTGTATCTACACTGTAGAATTAATGCAGTTTAACACCCCTTTGACTGTCACTAGCTCAATGCTATGGCATCGTACACTTTAGAGACCCTTAAAAGGATATATCGTACGTTTTGGAGACACTTAAGAGTATTGTCCACTTTAGAGACACTTAAGGGTATCTATATCATATGCTTTGGAGACACTTAAGAGCCTCTGTGTATTGTAGCTCAATGCTATGGCATCGTACACTTTGGAGACACTATCTATATATGGTACGCTTTGGAGACACTTAAGAGTATATATTGTATGCTTTGGAGACACTTAAGAATATCTATCTATCCTATGTTTTGGAGACAATTAAGAGTATGCATATGATACGCTTTGGAGACACTTAAGAGTATCTATATATTGTACGCTTTGGAAACACTTAAGGGTATCCATATCATACGCTTTGGAGACAAGAGTATCTATATATCGTATGCTTTGGAGATACTTAAGTGTATCTATGGATTGTAGATCAATGCTATGGCATTGTACATTTTTGAGACACTTAGAGGAGTATCTATATCATATGCTTTGGAGACATTTCAGAGTATCTATATCATATGCTTTGCAGACAAGAGTATCTATATTATATGCTTTAGAGACACTTAAGAGTATGTATGTATCATACACTTTGGAGACACTTAAGAGTATCTATATATCGTATGCTTTGGAGATACTTAAGGGTATCCATATCACATGCTTTATTATTTATTTATTTATTTACTCCATTTGTATACCGCATTTATCAGCCTGAAGCGGCGACTCAATGCGGTTTACAGTAAAAATAAACAACACTGACAATATATAAGACACACGTACACAAACGACACACATATAGTCATCAACGCCTCAATTAGAGTCAGATCCCGTTCTCACAGTCCTTTTTCGTTCCTTGTTCAAATGCCGTCTTACTGAGTTAGTTGTTATTGCATAGTTATCCGAATGCCTGCTCATAGAGCCACGTCTTAACCCTCCTCCGAAACACCAGCAACGAAGGGGCCTGCCTGATGTCCACTGGTAGGGCATTCCATAGCCGAGGGGCCACCACCGAGAAGGCCCTGTCTCTCGTCCCCGCCCAACGTGCCTGTGACAAAGGCGGGACCGAGAGCAGGGCCTCCCCGGACGATCTTAACGTCCTCGCGGTTCATAGGTGGAGATGCGTTCGGAGAGGTAAGGGGCCGGAACCGTGTAGGGCTTTATAGGCTAAACCAGCACCTTTGAATTGTGCCCGGTAGCATTGGCAGCCAGTGGAGCTGGCTCAACAGGGGTGGTGTGCTCCCTGAGTGCCGCTCCCGTTAGCAACCTGGCTGCCGAGCGCTGGACCATCTGAAGCTTCCGGGCAGTCTTCAAGGGCAACCCCACGTAGAGCGCGTTGCAGTAATCTATGCGGGATGTGACAAGAGCGTGGACTACCGTGGCCAAGTCCGACTTCCCAAGATACGGGCGCAGCTGGCGCACGAGCCGAAGCTGTGCAAATGCTCCTCTGGAAACCGCTGAAACTTGGGGTTCCAAGCTTAGCGAAGAATCCAGAGTCACACCCAAGCTGCGAACCTGCGTCTTCAGGGGGAGTGCGACCCCGTCCAACACAGGCTGTAACCCTATACCCTGTTCGGCCTTCCGACTGACCAGGAGTACCTCTGTCTTGTCTGGATTGAGTTTCAATTTGTTCACCCTCATCCAGTCCGACACAGCGGCCAAGCACCGGTTCAGGACCTGGACAGCCTCCTTAGTAGTAGGTGGAAAGGAGTGACAGAGTTGGACGTCACTTAAGAGTATCTATGGATTGTAGCTCAATGCTATGGCATTGTACATTTTCGAGGCACAAGAGTATCCATATCACATGCTTTGGAGACACTTAAGAGTATCTATGTATTGTACGCTTTGGAGACACTTAAGGGTATCCATATCATATGCTTTGGAGACACTTAAGAGTATCTATATATTGTATGCTTTGGAGACACCTAGGAGTATCCATATCATACACTTTGGAGACACTTAAGACTATCTATATATTGTATGCTTTGGAGACACTTAAGGGTATCAATATCATATGCTTTGGAGACACTTAAGAGTATCTATATATTGTATGCTTTGGAGACACCTAGGAGTATCCATATCATACACTTTGGAGACACTTAAGACTATCTATATATTGTATGCTTTGGAGACACTTAAGGGTATCAATATCATATGCTTTGGAGACACTTAAGAGTATCTATGTATTGTATGCTTTGGAGACACTTAAGGGTATCCATATCATATGCTTTGGAGACACTTAAGAGTATCTATATATTGTATGCTTTGGAGACACCTAGGAGTATCCATATCATACACTTTGGAGACACTTAAGACTATCTATATATTGTATGCTTTGGAGACACTTAAGGGTATCAATATCATATGCTTTGGAGACACTTAAGAGTATCTATATATTGTATGCTTTGGAGACACCTAGGAGTATCCATATCATACACTTTGGAGACACTTAAGACTATCTATATATTGTATGCTTTGGAGACACTTAAGGGTATCAATATCATATGCTTTGGAGACACTTAAGAGTATCTATATATTGTATGCTTTGGAGACACCTAGGAGTATCCATATCATACACTTTGGAGACACTTAAGACTATCTATATATTGTATGCTTTGGAGACACTTAAGGGTATCAATATCATATGCTTTGGAGACACTTAAGAGTATCTATATATTGTACGCTTTGGAGACACTTAAGTATATCTATGGATTGTAGCTCAATGCTATGGTATTGTACATTTTTGAGGCACTTGAGTATCTATATCATACACTTTGGAGACACTTAAGAGAATCTACATATCATACACTTTGGAGACACTGACGAGTATCTCCTGGAGTTTGGTGAGGAACCAGCATTTTTTGGCAGAGAAGGCCAAAGACCTTGCAAAACTACAAATCTCACGATTCCATCGCATTGCAACACTGCACTTATAGAAGTGCCAAACTGCATTTATCCTGTCATGCAGATGCATCCATGCAATGGCTCTTCTAGCCACAGTTGTAAAACAGATTCATTCCTGGTCAAAGCGAGCCTCAACGCCAGTGTAAACGTAATGATAAACCAGACTCAGCATCCAAAAGAAGAACAAGAAGAGGAGGCCAACCTATCCATGCAACGTTTTCCATTGGGAAAGCATTTTCCTATGAAGCCTCTTTCACACTATATTAATTATAATGCAATAATCCCCCTTTGCTAGGGCTCCATCCAACATAACCTATTTTGGAAGTTGAACCCACTGAGAAAAAGTCTTAAGTGGATTCAACTTGCAAGATGGGTTCAAGGTATGTTCAATAGTAGAATGGATTGCATAATAACTCCTTAAATAGAGGTTGTATGGCCATCTTTCGGGAGTGCTTGGATGTGTCCTCCTGCAGAATGGGGTTAGACTAGATGGCCTTTAAGGTCCCTCCCAACTCTTAAGATGTTCGTGACTCAGTGTCTCATGAAACTACAAATCCCATGATGTGTTAGGATGGAAACAGGATGGAGACTGGACAGCTAAACCGGCATCAAATACGCAATGACAATACAGAGTGAAAAAACGCGTAAAGGGCTCAATCCAAAATAAGTAAACAAGTAAGAAAACGGCAGGTTTCTGGCCTGCTTTACCTTGAAATCTTCGGGGAGGAGCAGCTTCGACGTCCTCAAGAAGCTCAAGATGTATCTGAAAATTTCGCCGTCTCGGTCGATGAAATAATGCTGTTTCAAACTGTCCAAGACAATGGGCTCCGTGCCATTAAACAGGCGGCTTATTCTGCAGGAAAGGGAGAAGGAAAAAAGGATGGAAGGAAAAACAGAATCCAGGATTTAGAAAGAGAATCATAACAGCTTTCGCAGAAGGGAAGGAAGCTCATCATGAAATCTCAAGGGGTCCTCTTGAGATCATCTAGACCAGCGTTTCTCAACCTGGGTGTCAGGACCCTGGGGGGGGGGTTGTGAGGGGGTGTCAAAGTGGTCACCAAAGACCACCAGAAAACATCGTACTATCTGTTCATCATGAGGGCTCTGTAAGAGAAGTTTGGCCCAATTTGATCATTGGTGAGGTTCAAAATGTTCTTTGATTGTAGGTCAACTATAAATCCCAGCAACTACAACTCCCAGATGTCAAGGTGTATTTTCCCCAAATGCCACCAGTGTTCACATTTGGGCATATTGAGTATTTGTGCCAAGTTTGGTCCTGATCCATCATTGTTTGAGTCCACAGTGCTCTCTGGATGTAGGTGAACTACAACTCCAAAACTCAAGGTCACTGCCCACCAAACCCTTCCAGTATTTTCTGTTGATCAAGGGAGTTCTGTGTGCCAAGTTTGGTTCAATTTCATCATTGGTGGAGTTCAGAATGCTCTTGATTGTCGGTGAACTATAAATCCCAGCAACTACAACTCCCAAACGTCAAGGTCTATTTTCCCAAACTCCACCAGTATTCACATTTGGGCATATTGAGTATTGGTGACAAGTTTGGTCCAGATCCATCATTGTTTGAGTCCACAGTGCTCTCTGGATGTAGGTGAACTACAACTCCAAAACTCAAGGTCACTGCCCACCAAACCCTTCCAGTATTTTCTGTTGGTCATGGGAGTTCTGTGTGCCAAGTGTGCATTTCATCATTGGTGGAGTTCAGAATGCTCTTTGATTGTAGGTGAACTATAAATCCCAGCAACTACAACTCCCAAATGTCAAGGTCTATTTTCCCAAACTCCACCAGTATTCACATTTGGGCATATTGAGTATCGGTGAAGTTTGGTCCAGATCCATCATTGTTTGAGTCCACAGTGCTCTCTGGATGTAGGTGAACTACAACTCCCAAACTCAAGGTCACTGCCCACCAAACCCTTCCAGTATTTTCTGTTGATCATGGGAGTTCTGTGTGCCAAGTTTGGTTCAATTTCATCATTGGTGGAGTTCAGAATGCTCTTTGATTGTAGGTGAACTATAAATCCCAGCAACTACAACTCCCAAACGTCAAGGTCTATTTTCCCAAACTCCACCAGTATTCACATTTGGGCATATTGAGTATTTGTGCCAAGTTTGGTCCAGATCCATCATTGTTTGAGTCCACAGTGCTCTCTGGATGTAGGTGTATTAGGATGTAGGTGTATTATTATTATTATTATTATTATTATTATTATTATTATTATTATTATGTTTATGTCTATGTCTATGTTTATTTATCGATTTAGGCTGCAACTACACTGCAGGATATTACTATTACTATCATCATTTTTATGTTTATAGATTGTCTTAGGGTGCATCAACACTGCAGAATTAATCCAGTTTGACACCACTTTAACTGACACTGCTATGGAATACCCAAACTGGATCTACACTGCTATATAACCCAGTTTCGGGATCCAGCTTAGATGCTTTGAACTGCATTTTATGAGTCTACACTGCCATTTAATCCAATTCAAAGCAGATCATCTGGATTCAGAAACCGGATTATGCGGTAGTGTAGACAGGGCCTAGGAGTTGTAGACTGCAAAGGGCACCATCCTTCTTGGGCACAGAAGGCCTTGCAAAACTACAACTCCCAGGATTCATAGTACTGAGCCGTGGCAACTAAAGGGTCAAGGCCTTGTAAAACTATGGCTCCCAAGATCCTATATCATTGAGCTGCAGCAATTAAAGGCTCATGGCCTTGCAAAACTACAAATCCCAGGATCCTATAGCATTGAGTCATGGCACTTAAAGGCTCAAGGCCTTGCAAATCTACAACTCCTGGGATCCCATAACATTGAGCCATGGCAGTTCAAGGCTCAAGGCCTTACAAAACTACAACTCCAAGGATCCCATAGCATTGTGCCATGGCAGTTAAAGGCTCAAGACCTTGCAAAACTACAACTCCTGGGATCTCATAGAGTTGAGCCATGGCAGTTAAAGGCATAAGGCCTTGCAAAACTACAACTCCTGGTATCCCATAGCATTGAGTCGTGGCAGTTAAAGGCGTAAGGCCTAGCAAAACTACAACTCCCGGGATCCCATAGCATTGAGCCATGGCAGTAAAGGCTCAGGGCCTTGCAAAACTACAACTCCTGGGATCCCATAGCATTGAGCCATGGCAGTTCAAGGCTTAAGGCCTTCCAAAACTACAAATCCCAGGATCCCATAACATTGAGCCATGGCAGTTAAAGGCTCAAGACCTTGCAAAACTACAACTCCTGGTATCCCATAACATTGAGCCATGGCAGTTAAAGGCTTGAGACCTTGCAAAACTACAACTCCTGGTATCCCATAGCATTGAGCCATGGTAGTTAAAGGCTCAAGACCTTGCAAAACTACAACTCTTGGGATTGAGCCATGGCAGTTAAAGGCTCAAGGCCTTGCAAAACTACAACTCCTGGTATCCTATAGCATTGAGCCATGGCAGTTAAAGGCTTGAGACCTTGCAAAACTACAACTCCTGGTATCCCATAGCATTGAGCCATGGCAGTTAAAGGCTTGAGACCTTGCAAAACTACAACTCCTGGTATCCCATAGCATTGAGCCATGGCAGTTAAAGGCTTGAGACCTTGCAAAACTACAACTCCTGGTATCCCATAGCATTGAGCCATGGCAGTTAAAGGCTTGAGACCTTGCAAAACTACAACTCCTGGTATCCCATAGCATTGAGCCATGGCAGTTAAAGGCTTGAGACCTTGCAAAACTACAACTCCTGGTATCCCATAGCATTGAGCCATGGTAGTTAAAGGCTCAAGACCTTGCAAAACTACAACTCTTGGGATTGAGCCATGGCAGTTAAAGGCTCAAGGCCTTGCAAAACTACAACTCCTGGTATCCTATAGCATTGAGCCATGGCAGTTAAAGGCTTGAGACCTTGCAAAACTACAACTCCTGGTATCCCATAGCATTGAGCCATGGCAGTTAAAGGCTTGAGACCTTGCAAAACTACAACTCCTGGTATCCCATAGCATTGAGCCATGGCAGTTAAAGGCTTGAGACCTTGCAAAACTACAACTCCTGGTATCCCATAGCATTGAGCCATGGTAGTTAAAGGCTCAAGACCTTGCAAAACTACAACTCCTGGTATCCCATAGCATTGAGCCATGGCAGTTAAAGGCTCAAGGCCTTGCAAAACTTCAACTCCTGAGATTCCATAGCAGCGAGCCATGGCAGTTAAAGTCTCAAGGCCTTGCAAAACTACAACTCCTGGGATCCCATAGCATTGAGCCATGGCAGTTAAAGGCTCAAGACCTTGCAAAACTACAACTCCTGGGATCTCATAGAGTTGAGCCATGGCAGTTAAAGGCATAAGGCCTTGCAAAACTACAACTCCCGGGATCCCATAGCATTGAGCCAGGCAGTAAAGGCTCAGGGCCTTGCAAAACTACAACTCCTGGGATCCCATAGCATTGAGCCATGGCAGTTCAAGGCTTAAGGCCTTCCAAAACTACAAATCCCAGGATCCCATAACATTGAGCCATGGCAGTTAAAGGCTCAAGACCTTGCAAAACTACAACTCCTGGTATCCCATAACATTGAGCCATGGCAGTTAAAGGCTTGAGACCTTGCAAAACTACAACTCCTGGTATCCCATAGCATTGAGCCATGGTAGTTAAAGGCTCAAGACCTTGCAAAACTACAACTCTTGGGATTGAGCCATGGCAGTTAAAGGCTCAAGGCCTTGCAAAACTACAACTCCTGGTATCCTATAGCATTGAGCCATGGCAGTTAAAGGCTTGAGACCTTGCAAAACTACAACTCCTGGTATCCCATAGCATTGAGCCATGGCAGTTAAAGGCTTGAGACCTTGCAAAACTACAACTCCTGGTATCCCATAGCATTGAGCCATGGCAGTTAAAGGCTTGAGACCTTGCAAAACTACAACTCCTGGTATCCCATAGCATTGAGCCATGGTAGTTAAAGGCTCAAGACCTTGCAAAACTACAACTCCTGGTATCCCATAACATTGAGCCATGGCAGTTAAAGGCTTGAGACCTTGCAAAACTACAACTCCTGGTATCCCATAGCATTGAGCCATGGTAGTTAAAGGCTCAAGACCTTGCAAAACTACAACTCTTGGGATTGAGCCATGGCAGTTAAAGGCTCAAGGCCTTGCAAAACTACAACTCCTGGTATCCTATAGCATTGAGCCATGGCAGTTAAAGGCTTGAGACCTTGCAAAACTACAACTCCTGGTATCCCATAGCATTGAGCCATGGCAGTTAAAGGCTTGAGACCTTGCAAAACTACAACTCCTGGTATCCCATAGCATTGAGCCATGGCAGTTAAAGGCTTGAGACCTTGCAAAACTACAACTCCTGGTATCCCATAGCATTGAGCCATGGTAGTTAAAGGCTCAAGACCTTGCAAAACTACAACTCCTGGTATCCCATAGCATTGAGCCATGGCATTTAAAGGCTCAAGGCCTTGCAAAACTTCAACTCCTGAGATTCCATAGCAGCGAGCCATGGCAGTTAAAGTCTCAAGGCCTTGCAAAACTACAACTCCTGGGATCCCATAGCATTGAGCCATGGCAGTTCAAGGCTCAAGGCCTTGCAAAACTACAACTCTCGGGATCCCATCGCATTGTGCCATGGCAGTTAAAGGCTCAAGACCTTGCAAAACTACAACTCCTGGTATCCCATAACATTGAGCCATGGCAGTTAAAGGCTTGAGACCTTGCAAAACTACAAGTCGTGGGATCCTGTAGCATTGAGCTATGGCAACTAAAGGCTCAAGGCCTTGCAAAACTACAACTCCGGAGATCCCATTGCATTGACCCATGGTAGTTAAAGGCTCGAGACCTTACAAAAC